GTGCCAGCACAGGGGACAGCACTGCCCTGGCCCTGCTGCCACCCCAGAGCTGGCACGACGGTGTCCCCTGGGATGTGTCCGCTCGTGCCCCACCGCAGCGACACCCCCTCCCCACGCCCTCCCGGAGGTCCCGTGTCCCCCGTGTCCTCTCACCTTCCTCCTCCCGCCTGCGGACGCCGCCTCCCCCCCTTCCCCCCCCCCCCCCCCGTCCGCATCCCGTCGCTATGGCAACCCTGGGGGGGGGCGGTGCCAGCCAATCAGCTCCCGCCTCTTTCTCCCGCCCGTCCGCATCCCGTCTCCATGGAAACTCCGGGGGGCGCCAGCCAATCAGAGCCCCCCAGTGGGGTTAGAGTGGCCGGGGGTTCCGATCTACCTAGCAACCAGCCTGACGCGCTCTGATTGGCTGGGCGGCGGGGAGTGGGCGGGGCGCTATGGCGCGGAGGCGTGGCCTCTCGAGGGGCGTGGTCGGGCGCTGCCGCCGCCGCCGCCACCCGAGGGGCGCGCGCGGGAGCTTGAGGGCGGCGGGAGCTGCGCAGGTAACGGGGACACGGCGGGGCCGCGCCTTCCTCCGGGGCTCGTCCTGCCCGCCCCGGGGACAGGCGCCCGCGGGGCTCTGCGGCCGGCAGCGCAGCGTGGGGATGCCGGTGCTGCGCTCGGCGGGCGGGCGGAGGACGGGGGGGATGCCGGCCCTGAGCGCCGGGAACGGGCCGGATCCGTTCCCCGTGAGGCCGGGGATGCTGGCCCGGGCTCCCCGTGCCGTAGTGCGGCACGGCGGCCCCGGGGAGGGTATGCGGGTGCCTCCGCTGAGGGCTCGGGGGAGCCGGAGCCTCACCGCCCCTCGCTGAGGGCTCGGGGGATGCCGATGCCTGAATGCCCTCCGCTGAGGGCTCGGGGGGTGCCGAGGCCTCACCGCCCCTCACAGGGGCTCGGGGATGCCGGTCCCTCACCGCCCCTCACTGAGGGCTCGGGGGTGCCGGTCCCTCACCGCCCTTTGCTGAGGGCTCGGGGGAGCCGGAGCCTCACCGCCCCTCGCTGAGGGCTCGGGCGCTGTCCGTGCGCTCCCTGGATTTGCTGAGGGCTCGGGGGATGCCGGTCCCTCAATGCCCCTCGCTGAGGGCTCGGGGGTGCCGGAGCCTCACCGCCCTTTGCTGAGGGCTCGGGGGTGCCGGTCCCTCACCGCCCCTCACTGAGGGCTCAGGGGAGCCGGTCCCTCACCGCCCCTCGCCGAGGCTCGGGCGCTGCCGGAGCGCCACCGCCCCTCGCTGAGGGCTCAGGGGTGCCGGTCCCTCACCGCCCCTCACAGGGGCTCGGGGGTGCCGGTCCCTCACCGCCCCTCGCTGAGGGCTCGGGCGCTGTCCGTGCGCTCCCCGGATCCCTCGGCCGTGCGGCAGCGATGGAGGGGATGCTGGTGCCGCCGCTGCACTTGTTCCTTGAGCCTTTCCGGCAGCCTGCCTGCTTCCCATGCCGGAGAGCTGCAGGATTCCCCTCTCCAGGCTCTTCCCGTGGAATAGGAACTCGCGGAGGGAGGTGACAGACCTGTCCCTCCATTCCTGTCCGAGGTGCGGGGCTCGGGGTTAGATGAGCTTTAAAGTCCCCTCCGACCCAAACCATTCCACGATTCCATGACAATCGTGGGAAAATGATTGGGCTGTTTCTGCCTTTCCGTCCTCCCGCTTTGCTCCTAATTGAAATTGGGGATGTGGGGGATTATGGTGTGGTGCAGGAGTGGAACAGCGCTGGAGTTTCTTTCCCACTGAGTAATTCATTAGAATGGAGTTGGGAGAATAATTTATTCTCCTTTTGTGGGTGGGAAAGGGCTGGGGAAGTGCAATGAATGAGTTCCTCGCCTTTCTCCAGGGTCAGAATCGGGTGGGGAATGGCTTAGAGGACATTTTCCTCTCCTGCAGGAGGAGTCTGGTTTGTTGTTTTAACTCCCCATTTCTCTGGGATAGATAACTGGGAATTAATCCCATCCTTTCATTCTAAAGCCTGACGAGTTTTTTCTTTTTCCTCATTGCTCCCTGAGGGACTTTGAAATTTAGTATTTGAAAAAAAAATCAAAAAACAAAAACTCCTTGTGGGAATCAACCCTTTCTTTCTCCTCATGATCTTCACTGGTTGTAATAATTGTCCATTCATGTCTTAATTAATCCTTTCCAGCAAGAATTGGATGATAAATAATGTAAAAATCCACAACCACAGGAACAAACTGCTCCTTTTGCCTGCGTTTTATTTCCAGTGCTTGTGGTGGGAGGAGAGGCCTCCCCTCCTCTTTTCATCCCTGGTGTCATCGAAAGTGTTTTGTTTTCCTGTACATACAAAAATAACCACAAAATCTCCTGTGCAGAGGCTGAACAAAGAGTGCACCAACTGGATCTGTGGTGAGGAGCTCTCCTGACACTGAGGGTTGCTCGTTACAGCACCCGTCTGTCTGCACCAATTAATGGATCATCCATGGGCTGCTTGGCAAAACCTGGGGCTCCTTTCGCAATGGAATCCTTCTCTTTTTGCTTCATTTCACCCGGAATCATTTCAGTTTTCCCAGGGCCAGGTTGTCCATTTTGATGTGATTTCCCTCCTCCTAAAATTACATTCTTGATTTTATTTATGATACTCGAGTGATTATTTAAATATGGATTTTTTTGCATAGTTAAAACTTTTTTTTTTCTTCCTTTGTGGCTCATTGAATCTTTGGTTTTGCATTTTTTCTTCAGCTTGAGGCTGTGGGGAAGGCAGAGGAGAGGTGGATGTGTTTGGATCCTGCTGTTTTCTGTGTCACAGAAATCATTAATGTGATTTCCATGGAGCATTATTGGACTTCTTCCCAAAATTCCACATCCTGACCCGGATTTGCCCAATTTTTGTGGTGCAGCCTTGAAGTGGTGTGAGCACAGTACATCTTAGGTTGCTTCTGAACCTTTTTTGGGAAGGTTTTTTTTACAGATCACTGTGATTGCACCTCAAAAAAAAAAAAAAAAAACTCCCTTGCTCATCCACTCTGGAAGGAGAACTCACTCAAACTGGGGAATAAAATCCTTTGGAGTTAACCTAGGAGAAACAAAAGAAAAATTGTGAATCCAGAGTTCTGGAGACACCAACAAACTCAAAAAACTTTTTTTTGGGGAGGGGGAACTCTTACTAAAATGTTAAACCCAAAGGAATGGATTCCAAGGGGGATCAAGCACCTTGTCCAACATGGGGTCACAGACTGGTTTGGGTTGGAAGGGACCTTTTATTTCCAGTATTTCTGCCAGGGAACTTCCCAAAACTGAGCAGGAATTGGTTTTATCTGCCCGTGCCTCCTGACCATCCTGCTGGGACGTGCTCCAGGCTGGTGATGCTCCCTGGCAGGTGGAGCCAGTTCAGCTCCTTGTTTCCTCCCAGAGCTACCAAATTACTGAAAAATCAGCCTGAAAAATCACATTTCTTCCATCAGAAGGACACAACTTTTCAAGCTCATATCATCTTGAAACTGGCCAAAGCCCAGGTGTGGTTACACAGAACTTGTGTTAAATGTTGTGGTTGATTGGAATCTTTTCAAACTCGGTGTGTTGACTCTTCCCAGCAGCATTTCCTTCAGAATACGAGCTGAGATTTGAGCTCTGTTGCTTCTGCCACTTCAGGTGTGTCGGTAGTTCTCTTTTTCCCTTTTTTTTTGGCTCTTGGTTTGTTTTTCCTGGCTTTGGAGCTTCTCCTGTTTCTATTTTTTCCCTTATTTCAGTGCTGCCTCAGCCACGGCTTCCCCTGTGAGAGGGAGAAGCAGCCTGTGAAAGCAAAGCTGTCAATAAACTGAATTTAACGTGGTTATCTTTAGCAGCTTGGTCTTTTTTTTTTCCCCCCACCACCTCTTTGCATGTTTGTTTTTAACCAGCCTGTCTCCAAAAAGCTCCAGCCAATCCCTTTCCCCCCTCACAGAAAAGCCCAGAATTGTTTAGGTTGGAAAGAACATTTTGAGATGATCCAGTCCAAGCCACAAACTGCACTGAGGGTTTAAAACCTTAATCTTTCTGACCATAAGATGGGCCTGGGTAAATAAAAATGTGCATAGCAGCACATGTCTGGTAATTAAATCCTTCCTATCTCTCACTCCAGGCAGAAAGGAAAAACTTTTTCTGAGGAAAAACTCTGTTCTCTCAAGATTGGGAATCTCTTCAGATCTGTGGTTGCCTGCTTTTGGGAATACTGATGGAATATTTGTGGTTTTCTAATTTTCTGTTACTTCTTTAACAATAATTCACTTTAAAGCAGCTGCTTAGAGACTGGATTTTGCAAATTTTACCATTGCAAGACAAAATTGTTAAAACTGGGCTTTTTTTTTGTACTCTTGGGATTGTGTGAATGGATGTGTGCAATTAAAATGGGTTTGGGACAACAACAACAACAACAAAAAAAAAGCAGATTAAAGTGCCACATTTGAGGCCAGGTAGCCAAACCTCCCTGGGCAGTGGCGAGCTGGGACTTGTGGGCTTGGTGGTGCTGGTGAGTGGATTTGTGTTTTTGTTTTAGAATTCTTCCTCAGCAGCTCCGAGGCCGTGCAGGGAACGAGATGCTATCGGTGTGAGTGAGTCACAAACAGCCTGGTTTCACTGTGGCCAAGCTGAAAGTGGGGGGTTTTCTAAAAATACTCTGCCCTAATCAGGATGTTCCCCGTGTTTTCACCATTTTTGGGTGCTTTTCTTCCATTCAGTTCTCCATGTTCCATTAATTTCCTCCAGAAATTAAAAAAAAAAAAATCAGGATTAAAACTCACAGAAGGACCTTGTAGGAAAACTTGAAGCAGTTTGTGTGCCAGCTTAGGAACTGAGGTCAAATATTTTAATATTTTCATGGATTTCCAGGTTTCTCAGTGTCTTCTGTCGTGTTTTGTGCTCCAGGTTTTCCAGGAAAAAAAGCAGGAAGCCCCTGGAGCTCTGCCCTGTCGCCATGGGCTCCACAGTGTGGGAATGTGGTTGAAATCTCCATATTTAATTCATGCCACAGAGGACTGAGAGGGGATAAAAAAGGGAAGATTTCTTCTGGAACCTTTCTGGATTGAGCTGAGGATGCTGAACACAGAAACTCTTCCAGCTGGGAGGAACCACAAGCAAAGCCAGGAAATATTTTGGTGAAGGAACTTTGTGATCCATGAGGAGCTGGAAGATCTGCTGGGGTGGGAGGATGGCTGCGGGCTGGCTGCTGTGCTCCCTGTGGCTTTTGGGGCTCTGGGTGTCCCCCACAGGAGGGCACAGCCTGTTCTCCTGCGAGCCCATCATCCTCAGGATGTGCCAGGACCTGCCCTACAACACCACCTTCATGCCCAACCTCCTCAACCACTATGACCAGCAAACAGCAGCTCTGGCCATGGAGGTAAACCTGTTTTTTTTTCATAAATCCATATTTATTTTAATTATTATTTATGTGTTGTATCTTTTCCATTAACATATATTTATTATTTTCATAAATATATCTTTATATATTGAATTTCGGCCTTTAGTTCATCAATAATAAGAGAATCCAAAGTGAGGGGGAAAAAAAAAAATCAAGGTAATGAATAATCCAAATATAACCCTAAATATCATATTCTAAATAGTCAAAATATTTCATGGCTACAGGTTCTGCCTAATTGAATATCACTAGGTGTGCTTCTTATTTTAAATACCTGAAGTGTGATTTATACAAGGCTTTTCCAGTCTGTTTTCCATCCTACCCAAGGAGTTTCCTCACTTGATATTCTGTGATGAGATTAAAATGAATGGAAATTCAGAATATTAAGGTATTCTGTGATGAGATTAAAATGAATGGAAATTCAGAATATTGAGGTATTCTGTGATGAGATTAAAATGAATGGAAATTCAGAATATTGAGGTATTCTGTGATGAGATTAAAATGAATGGAAATTCAGAATATTAATCAAATTCTTGCTCTCAACCTGTTCAAAATTCCATGAGGGGTCTGTGCACGTTTGGTTTATTTGTATTTTTTAAGTGCTTGGGAAGCCCTGTGGGTAAATCTGTGAGAAATGAAAGAATAATGCTGTTTTTTCATCTTGGAATGCTCTTCCTGACAGCACAAAACCTGAATTTCGTTGTTCTTGTTCAATAATATAAAACTTTAGCTTTGTGTGGTTTGTCTGTGGAAGAGTTTGGAATTAAATCTGGTGGATTTTTTTAAAAACTGAGGTTCTTTCCCTTAAATTTCTTTGGATGAACTCTGGGCTTGGATTGCACTGGCTCCTTTGGATGGATCTGCAGGTTCTGATATGGAGCAAAAGGAGTGGATTTTATTGTAAAATGCAACAAAGGAGTTGAGTTTTGTTGCAAAATGGAGCAAAAGGAGTGAATTTTGTTGTAGAATTGCTTCTGGCACATTCTGAGGCACCAGAACAGAATTCCCAGAGGATCCCTGGGAGTGTCCAAGGAAAGGCTGGAGGTGTCAGGGCTGGAATGGGATGGCATTTAAGATCCCTTCCCACCCAAACCATGCTGGAATTTAATGATTTTATTCACTTATTTATTCTCTGACCTATTTAAAACCATTTTTTGCTGCTTTCCTTCAATCCCCCTTTGGATTGTGCCGGAATCAAACCCTCCTGAGGTTTTGGAATCCTCACTTTTTATCCCCCAGCCTTTTTCCTCTCCAGGTGGAATCATTCCAGCTCTCTCCCTGCAGTGTCCTTCTCCAAGTGCTGGCCTTCCTTCCTGGGATAATTTGAATTCCCTTCCCCTCTCCCTTTTTTTCCCTAGCCTTGTCCTTGTCCAGGGCACATCACCCGGGGTGTGGACACCACTGATGATTTAAAATCCCATTTTTCCCTGATAATGGCCAACATCCTGCTCGTTTTTCAGCCTTTTTGTTGCAGTTGAAACCCGTGCTTTCACTCAGCTGTCGGAAACATAATTTTGATTTAAAACCCGTTTGCTGAAAGGAATAATTCCGTGGAGCCCCAGCCTGAGCCAGAACAATCCCCATTTTTTTTGGGAGCTTTCTGCCTCGGAGAGGGGAACTGAGGAGGGGCTCAGCGTTGCTTCTCTGCCCTCTGCGGTGCAAAAACTCGAGTTAAAAGCAGAAATTACCCGGCACAAAAGGCTGCAATTCACACCAAAACCATTCTTAAGGTGCGTGGGTGTGTTTAACACTCCCTTTTTTGCCAATAAAATCAGCATTTCAGGCGGTAATTCCAGGCTGGGGATGGATTATGGGCCACTTGTGAGTCAAGGTGAATGCTGTGAGGAAAACAAAGCTTTTAACGAGACTCAACTCTCCCAATTCAGAGTTTTGGGAACCAAAAAAAAAGGACTGAAAATCCACAGCTTTTCATAAACATCTTCCCATTCCTTGTATTTACTTAGATTGCACTTTAATGTCTACTTAAGAAGAGAGAATATTTTTATGATTTGGGTTTTTAGGTGTTATTTAATGACTCAGTTGTTGTGGAGCACTCCAATGCTGGGCTGTTAAATGTTAATTTTGCATTGTGGCATTTTCTGGGAACATCTCTGGTCTCCAAGTCCCTTCCCTGGTTGCTGTGAACATGAAATAATGGAGAAACACAATCAGGGTGATTCATTTTGTGTACCGGAGGGAAGGCTTTGTAAATCCCTCGTTTTCAGAACCTCTTTTTCACAGCAGTTCCTGCTTAAAAAAATTTTTAAAAACTCAAGAAAAATTCAGCTGCTTTGTACTGAAAAGGGTGCAATGAAACAAAGAGTGGAGGTGAAGCAAAAATGAGAATTATTGTAGCTGTTACCCTGTCATCAATAAATTCAGTGGAGTTCTCTTCCAATACTGCTGATTGCTTAAAAACTTATTTCTTTTTTCTGGAAAAAAATCAGTTAAGTTGCCTTTTTCAGACTTTAAGCTGATGTAATTCCTTCATAATGATATTAAAGTCACATCATCAGGTTAGAGAATCAGCAAAATCAGGGAATCCCAGAGAGGTTTGGGATAAAGGAAACATCAAAGCTCTTCCAGTTCCACCTGGACACCTCCCACTCCCCCAGGCTGCTCCAGCCTGGCCTTGGACACTTCCAGGGATGGGACAGCCACAAATCCTCTGGGAATTCTCTTCCACAACCTCCCCACCTTCCCAGGGAAGGATTTTTTTCCCAGCTCCCCCTGTAAATCTCCCTTTTTTCAGCCTCTTGAATATGGAATATTCCATCAGGGTCCCTCCCCTGCTGGAATCAGCTCCTGCTCCTTGCTTCACTCCTGGGAAAAAGAATTCCTTCAGCTCTGTGCTTTAATCCAGGAGGATTGGAGGCAGGGCTGCTGCATCCAGGGGCTTGGAGCATTATTTATTCCCAAATATTCCTGAAGAACCTTGGTGCTTTTGGCAGAGGACAAACACCAATCCAGCCTGCCTATGGCAAAGAACGAAATGAGAATTATTTTTGCAAAAAAAAATGTTGCCTCTGCTGTTCTGAAAGCAGCAATGAAGGAGTGCTGAGTTCCCAGCGAGGAGGAGCTGCTGTCCAGGGCAGGAATTTCCCAGCTCCTCTGGAATTTTTGGGATGAGCTGTCCAGAGCTGGGAGCTGTCCAGGGATTCCCGAGGGTCGCTCCTCCTTCCCTGTGCTGCTGTCACACCCAGCTCTGAGGTGTCTGTGACATTTTCTGTAACCTGCTGACAGGCTGCTTTTGGGCAATATCCGTCAGGAACAGCTGGTTTTAGCAGTGCTGGTAAAACTTCCCTCCCAAATATTCCTTCCCCTCCCAAAAACTTCCCTCCCAGATCTCCCCTCCCAAACATTCCCAAGGATGCTGCGGCGTGGGGACGGTGCCCGTGCGTCCCATAAATCCTGGGCTGGTAGAAAAGTCAAATTACCCCTCTCCCCCACCCCCAGGGAGCTGACCTTGTTCTCCCATCTCTTTGGATTATTATTGCTCCAAAGAATTTATCTCCTGTCCCTTTTTCCACTTCATAATTCCTTTGGCCTTGAAGGATTTGCTGACGCGTGGGAGCGGCGAGCCGTGGGGTTTTTCTGCCTTAATGCAGTTCTTGTGAGCAAACATTTTGATCAGAAAAACGTGGGATTTGGTGGCCTGTTGAAGCCTGTGGCCATTCAACGACAGCTTTTGTCACAGATGAAGAAAAGCAGTTTAATTTGATGATTGCCAAGCTTTTTGAATTAAACAAGCTGTCACCACTTCTTTTTCCTCACCCTGGTTTTTAGGGGACCCCGCAAATGATGGTGGGGATCAAAGAGGCTTTAAAGGACGGGAGCCAGACGTGGCCGAGGGCTGAATCTGAGTTTTCTTTTGGGATTAAACTGGAGGTCAAAGGCTCCAAAAAGGAGCTGATGCAGTCACCATATGGCCAGGGAGATAATGGCTCTTCCTCTGCCTTCCATTCCCATTTTCCTTATAAAAAACCAGCAGCATTTGGGACTCAGGATGCAGCTGGCTTGGTCAGGAGATGGAAAAGGGGGAAATGGAGGAATTGGGTTGTCCTGAAATTAATCTGGGGTTTGCAGCATGAGGGAAGAAGGTGGGAGAGCACGATGTGATTTCCACTTGTGTGCTGACCTGGGCGTTGATATAAATAAACCCCCCCAGTCATGGATTTTTGGAATATTTAGAAGTGAATTTGCCACAGAATATCCAGCTACACACGTGGATTTTTCAGATTTAGTGGTTTCTTGCCTGTCTTGGTGCTCACAGGGGACAATTCCACTGACCTGCCACAGAGCTGCAAGGTCTGTGTGCCTTTGCCACCTCTGGAGTCTTGGTCCATTTTTTCCACTTTTTTTTTTAATTAGAAAAGAACCAGAATGTTTAAAATGGCATCATCAGAAGGCATAGCTATATTTATTCCCAGCTCAGTCTCAACATCTGGGACAAGAGGAATTTTTCCAGCAGAGCTAGGTCAGGTATTAAGTGGCTCATTTAGTGCTGTTTCTTTCCTAATAATCCCCAAGGGTGGGGAGAACACCGAGTGGGAAATCCTTAATTTCTTACCCCCTTAATTCCTTTTCTTCTTCTGCCTTCCCCATTCACATATCCTAAATTTCACAGTTCTCCTTGGCTTTCTGACTTCCTCAGTTCTGCCTCCCAAACTCCTGGAAGCTCAGGCACATAAAGCTGATGGAAAAGGAGGTTTTAATCAGCTGCTGTTTTGTAAGCAGCCTGATCTTGGGCACTAATTTGCAGCAAGGATTAATTTTCTCGTTAGCACATGCGATTGTGATCCCCTCAGAACAATGGAGCTGTGCAGGATCACAGGGATAGCAGCTGATTAAAGCCTTCAATTTCATTCATTTTATATTCTCTCATCTCCAGCTGGAATTTTTTTCACCTTGGAAACAGCCACGTGAAGCTTTTGGATTTGTTTTATAGTGAAAGCAAAGCTGGGATCGCAGAGGAATTCCTG